AGGACTTCTCTATGTTCCAGCCACGGAGCTCACCAACTCAAGCAAGCTAGCTGAGCCAGCAGTGACCCAGACAAGTGAGTCACCTCCACCAAGAGTCTCATCCAACAGGACCCACGTGCAAGCTACAGCCCCACAACAGATGCAGCCAGAAAGCATGGGACAAGCAGGCAAAACCAAATTTCCATTCTCCATTGTACTTTATGTGGCCTGCTTCTAGAAGGGGTAGTCCATATTTAGGGTCCATTTTCCATGACAAATAATCTAATTAAGATAGTCTCTCACAGGTGTGCCTAGATGGTTGGGTTTGGTTACTTCCCAATGCAGTCAAGTTAACAACCATGATTAGCTATCACAGAGTATTCTTAAAATAAATAAATAATTTCAGAAATCAAATACCAGGGAAGTAAAACTGCCAATTAGCAAATGGGCAATTACAGGAAATAAACATTTTAAACTAAGAGAAAAAGAATGAATGAAAGAAATAAAATCTAATAACTATAATTTTTAAAGTGTTTAATATTCATCCCTGAATTTAAGCTCTACTACTGAGCTTTAGTAACAAATAGTACATGATACTGTCATAAAACCAGACATGTTGTTCAACAAAATCCAATAGGTTCAGGTTTTAAATGCACAGACCTATGGACAAGTGATTTTAGAGTAAAAAAAAAAATCCATAAATACACAATGGAAAAAGACAACATATTCAGCAAATGGTCCTGGTATAACTGGATATTTGCATGTAGAAGAGTACAAATTGATCTATATCTATCATCCCCACAAACTCCAGAGCAAGTGGACCAAAGACCCTAACAGAAATCCACATACACTAAACCTGATAGAAAATAAAGTGGGAGCAGCCTTGAACGCATTGGCACAGGAGACAACTTCCTGAACAGAACACAGATAGACTAACAGTTTACAAATAGGACTTCATGAAAGTGACAAGCTGCTGTAATGCAAAGGAATCTATCGGTTAGACAAAAATGGAAACCTGGGAAAAGATTTTCATCAACTTCATGAATGGCTCTAGCAGGCCTGAGCACAGCAAAGACAAGTCCTAGCATGACAGACATGGCACCCACAAGTTTTGACTTTTACTCTAACTCCTTTGCTAAAAACTGTTAGATTACGTTTTTAACCCCCAAAGTCCCTTCCCTTATTTGACTATTGACTCATTACTGAGACTAAACACCAATGTCCAAGAATCAAACTTCATTATTTGGTTAACATGTTAAATCTTGATTTACCAACTCAACATAGCACACACTCCCATTTTCCACTTAAAAACCAGTTTCTGACTATTCTGAATAAAGCTACTATGAACATAGTTGAGTGTGGGTTCCTGTTCCAGAGGGCATCCCATGAAGATCTCCAGCCTGGCTGGATGTGGTGGTCCAGGCCAAGGGGATAGAGTATGAGCAGAGAGGGGGGATTGCCTCTGCTGCCTCTGCTGCTGCCTCCACCCATGTCTCCGATATTGCTACCCAGTTACTCCCAGGTGCTGCACCTGTCTCTCCAAGCTGAGCTGGCCCAGGCTGGGCTGGTAAGAAGCCAGCTAACTAGCAAGGAGGGGAGGGTCCTGAAGGTGCTTCAGGAGAGCAGATCTCTTCCCAAGTGTTAAAGCTCTTTCGACAGAAACTGTCAGACAATGGGATGATTTTTTGCACACCTTTACTTCTCCTGAATAGGCCTCTTATATACAGTTTTGGGGTGGGTTAGGGTCTGGCAGCAAATAACCCCTATTGGCTTGGTCTGAGAGCTTGGAGATACCTCATCTACATGTGGGAGAGCCTGAGGCACTATTCCTACATGACTGATGGCCATAGACCTCTCTGTGGGAGGGGCTGTGGAGGGCTGAAGCTGAGTGAAAGGCACTAGGAGCCCAGAAGCAGAGCCAAACACCTTCCGTCCCATGAGGGTCCAGGATTCAAGGCCTGTGCTTGACCAGGCACCCAGCTGCCTCTCACTGCCCACCACCCCACAGTTGAGCATCTGTCCAAACTGTAGGATGGAGTACCTTAAGTGAGGTAACCAAGATCCAGAAAGTTAAATGTGGTACATACTCACTTATTGGTGGATATTTGCTGCTAAATAAAGGATAATTATGCTGTAACCTACAGATCCAGAGAGGCAAAGGGACAAGAAGAGGTCAAGGTGTGGGCAGGGAATTATGCAATTCCCTGGGAAGGAGAAATAGAATGGATTGTGCAGATGGACAAGACTGGATGAGGTTGTGAACAGGAAGAATCAGGTGAGGGAAGCAGCAATGAAGGGAGGGTGTACTGAGACGATGGCTGGGGTTGGAGCATTTGGGCAGCAAGGTGATAATCTATTGCAACAGAATGTCCCTGGAAATTTTGAAGGATACCCTAGTAGTCTCTAAGTCCTGGGGGATACAGAGGTTGAACAGGCTATCTTCTGTAGCCAGGCAACATTTCCAGTAGTGGTACTGAGGCACCAACCTAACCAGAAGTATTTGACTACAATTTGTCCTGTCTACAAGTTGTGATGGGGTAAAGGTGGCAGAGCAATTGTGGTGTGGCTGACCAATGACTGGTCAACCTGACCCTTGTATCATGAGAGGGGCTCCTACCAGACACTGCCTGAATGTTCAGGAAGCAAAGGCTGGATAGCACAGAGGCCAAGGATGGAAACAAACACAACTGGCCACAAGGAGAATTCAGTGAAATGATGTCTGCTGATATTCTGCCATACTCATAGATGGATGCCTATCCATCAAAATCAGAGAGGTTTGTCTAGCAACTGATGGGTTAAGCTTCAGAGACTCACAGCCAAACACTAGGTAGAGCTTGGGGGAACCCTCACTGAAAGGGGTCAGAAAATATTTTAGAAGCCAAATGGATCAAGTCCACTAGGAAACACACCCCACAAAATCAAGGAGGCAGAGCTCTTCAGGACTCACTGAGGATGAAATGACCATCAGAGGATGAAATGACCATCACAGAACATGTATGGATCTTAGCTATGTCCTCTGCATGTGTGTTATAGTTATGTGGCTTAGTGTTCTTGTGGGACTCCTAACAGTGGGAGTGGATATGTCTCTGAACTTTGACCTACTCTTGGACCCCCTATCCTCCTACTGGATTTGCCTTGTCCAGTCTTGATATGAAGGTTTGTGCCCAGTCTTATTGTAACCTGTTATGCTGTGTTTAGCTGATACCCCTGGAAAACCCATGCCTTTCTGGAGGGAAATTTAGGAGAAGTGAATCTGAGGTACATGAGGAGTTGGGGTGCTGGGAGGTACCCCTAAGAAGGGTAGACTACTGTAAGGATGTAGTGTATGAGAGAAGACAAACTACAATTCACCAAGCTGCTGTGTGAAGGACTTGACTAGGGTCTCGTGGGTCACCATAAGCTGTTTTATACTTCAGCTGGACTGGCTGAGTCTACGATTTCAATGTCAAGAAAGATAAAACCTCTCTACTTGACTTTCTCTTGTTTACATGTTATAGTAGAGATTCCATGTGAGGTACACAGACATCCACAGGGGTTGAGTGTTTACAACTTCCTTCCAATTCCACACACTGCATTCTGAACCCAAGAAGACTGTGTACATGGAACTGTTAGAAAAGAGAATTTGATCATTTTTTAAAAAATATTATTTTTGTGCATTCCATATATAGATCCATTTGTGCCACATTGAGCTGTATAGAGAAACAAGAGGATGAAAGTGAAAAAGGAGTCTATTGTGTACCTGATACAAAACCAGAGACTTAGAAGTGTTGGTTGATGATCTCAAAAATATACTTCCAGCCTAGCATCCCTTAGATCCTTAGAATTCATAAACTGCCTTATCTGGCCATTAGGGGCAGCTAAGTTTCCAGGACAAGGCAGGGTAGTTGATAAACTGGAGGTCTTCTCTGAGCCTCTCTGTCCATGGAACTCCTGGGTTGGAACAGGGCTCACTATCCAGGCTTAGGTGGGAGGGGTGAGCGCAGGTGACTGGCAGCCCAAGTCTGGCTGAAATGTGAGGTAGGGGAGACTCCACAGTTTTGGAACTTACAGGTAGAACAGTGAAAGGCTGGTGTAAATCAGGCCAGGGTGAGGTAGGGATGGGGTAGAAACTTCTGGTAGCTGGAGGAGGTCAGATGGAAAACGCTGGAAGGCCAGCAAGGGGGACAGAAGTGACTGAGCTCTGGGCTGGGCTCGGTAATGAGACCAGGGTGAGTCTGTGTCCATCAGAGGAATGTCTCCATATTCAAGACTGAAATTTAGGTGGTGAGAGTCCCCTACTCTGCTAGAAAGGGAGACCAGAAACAGGAAACTGAATGCACTGCACAGCCCATGGCCTTCTGAATTCCCAGAGTCAAATCTCCCTTCACCCAGTGCCTTGTCTGACTCTCTGCCATTGTTGGGGCTGGATGAAGGTGGCTCAGAGATGGAGGAATTTCCTAGGCCCAGAAGATTCATGTCTGGAGGACTAAGGACAAATGAGTGACTGAGCACAGGGCACCTCAGTAGTGCTGTAGACTCCTGATGATTGTGTGTTGAGAAAGCTAACCTTGGAGACTTGAGGATTAAACATGGGTATGGTTGGATGTCATGGCTCACACCTTTAATCCTAGCACTGGGGAAGCAGAGAGGGGCAGATTTCTGTGAGTTGAAGGCCAGGCAGGTTTACATAGCAAACTCCATGCCAGAGAGTATACTGTGAGAGCCTATCTCAAAAATATAAACAAAGAAAGTCACCCAACCTCCCACCAAGTATTGATGATAAATATGTGGGAATTGTGTAGTCTGAAGTCCCAGTAAGAGGAGGGGGTGGGGAAGGAGGCGGAAGCAACGCCCAGAACTGACAGGGGAGGTCTGCCTGGACCAGCAAGATGCACAAACAATGAAGTGGCTCAAACAGCAAGAACTCCAGTTATATGCATTCCAGAGATTATTTATTATGAATTTTCAGCCGTTGCTGCCCACTCCACATCATTCTTGCCTGAGGTCAGACAGGCTGGCCAGCACAGGTGGTTTAACATCTGTTAGAGGTGCTTCATGTTACTGCTTATCCATGGCAGGAAGTATACAACCTTAGTGAAGACTCCTGAAGAAATTGTCCAATTTTTTGTATAGGCTACAACTCCATAAGCTCTGTTGCCACACACAAGGGGTCCCCCAGAGTCACCCTGTAGGCAGAAAAAAGAAGAACTTATGTTGGATTCCTCTGGCTCTGTTTTCCTCACCTCCTCCTGGCAAGGCTAACTCCTAGATCAGGGCCAGGAAAGGTTTTCAAGCTTCCCTCAGTACCAGAGCTCCAGGCAGGCCCAACTTTTCTTTCTAGCTCAGTAATAGGCTTTCCCTGAAGTCCTCGGGTATACTGTGATATAATTTATGCTTCATTGGGATGACAAAAGTTTTCCCACTTTAAACTCTTGCTACACAAACACAAGGGACAAAAAAAAATTGATTTTTGCACATTCTCATCTCTGAGCTGAGGCTTGAGGGTTTGGCCATTCCACACTTTGGCCTCTAACAGGTCCCTTTCTCTCCCTGCATTTTAGTTTTTAAATGCTTAATCCCCACCTCAGAAATAGTCCGTATTTTCCTTGGGTCTCCAGCACAAATCTGTGTGGTCTTGGAATAGCAGAAGTAGCCTTTTTGGCACTCCAGGTCATCCTGGATGATAAGTTCAGCCTCTTGTAAGCGGGAAGATCCTTGATTGGCATTGATGGACATTTTCCCCCAGCCAGCCACATGACACACATCCCCTGGCTTCACTTGGGTTTTGCTCCTGGGCAACTTGAGGATCCTCACAGCTTTAGTTCTCTTGGCTTTACTCTTCAACTAATAGGGAAGAGGGAGGGAGACCAGATCAGCTAGGAGCCTGCTTTCCTGAGACTCTTTCAAAGTCAGGATGGAAAAGAAGGAAGAAGCAGGATCAGAGCAGGGGGGAGGGGATAGCCCTGCACCAAACAGAGCACAGGCACAAGGGGGGAGGAGTGAGGGATGGCCACAGGAGTATAGATGGGAAGGTGGCAGGTCTCACCTTTAATAGCATGATGTCACTGGTGTGGTTCAGAGGATTATAGTCTGGATGGGGAATGGCTTTTGCTACAGGGATGATCTGCTGTGTATCCTCCTTAGCCTCGATGTTGTGAGCCCCCAGTGTTACTATCATTGTCCTGTGGAGAAAGCAGAGTAGAGAGGAGAGATGTGCAGTGAGAGAGGATGTAGTCCAGGAGCTGTGAAAGGAAGGGTAGGCAGGGTGGGGCTCTAGCTGAGGGAAATTGTGGACACAGGAGAGCCTCAGGGTCAGACCTACTACTCACTTCTTTTCAAGGATATGGACTTCCTGGGGTTTCCTCTTGCATGTAGGCAATATACCAAATTTTGAATCAACTCTTAAAGTGAACTTTCAATGACAACCACTGCTCTAGTTTGTTCAGTGCAGTTGATCAATTCAAGTGTGCTGCTGGCTCTGAACTCTCACTCTTGGACCTACAATTACCTCTAATGTGACTCCCATTGACACAGTCCTTACTTCAGGAGAGCTCACATAGGAACGTCCACAATAGAGGACAGAAGCTCCTGTGTATGTGTGAGTAGGGGGTGGTGTCTAAGAAAATGTGGGCTAGCTGCTTCTCCTCACCTGTTTCTGCAATGAGCAGCAGTCAACACAAAGTAGTCTTGAACCAGGAAGCCTCCACAGTATCTCTTCTTCCCTTGAATATCCACAGACTCAACAAATGCCATGTAGGGGTGGGAGTGTGGCTTCACCTCATGACCACCAATGATTTCATCTGAAAAAGGGGCTAGAGTATGGGGTGTCTGGAAGCAGTAGATCAGGTGAGGAGGGGAGATCTAGGAAGGGACTGACTGGGGGTCAGATCTGCAGTCCCTAAAGCTTGTTGCAAACAGGATTCCTTGCATATGGAATAATCTTTGCTCACAAGCCTCAGAACCCTGCTCTAAGAAGGTGTGGGTAGCACTTGACTTCCAACTCCTGCTCTACACATACATGGAGGGATAAGCTCTGTCTTCACCACACAGAGCCTGAGGGGATCCTGTGAATATCCACATTAGTTTTTGATTGTTAGTGAGTCATCCTAAACACTGTAGAATTGACTGGTGTCATTTTCTCACATTTTGCCTCCATGCCCTATAGAGGTGGATTTTCTAACATTATCTGTGTTTGGTACCTAACACATCTTGGGTTCTCAGTAAATGCTTTTTTTTTTTTTTTGCATGAATGAGTGGTTTGTAGTTAACTGGGGGTCTAGTGGGTCAGTGCTGGTAGGATTCAGAGCCAAGGGATATTGGGGTAGTGTGCTGTCCCAGCTGGGAGTAGCTGGGGACCTGCAGAAGAAGTGGAGAGACCAACTAAAACTAGACTGCAAAGCTAGTGGAGCATGCAGTGCAGGATCTTGTCAGCCTGGGCCTCTTTCTTCTGCAGGACTGGGGGTGGACTTAATGAATGATGCTCATACTCTTGAGCTGGTGGACTCACTTCATTACAGGCTGGACATTAAAGCTGCCTTTCCCTCAGTTGTAATCAAGTTAATGTTGTACTCGTTGTATCTTTGCATTGTCTGCCACATCTCTTTCTAAGGATCATCCAGTCTACAGGTAATGAAAAAGAAAAAAAAATTAGCTGGAAGAAACTAGTAGCTACTAAATTTCTGAGAATACCTCTCTTCCTCAGACATTGATGAGAATCTAGCCAGTGTCAGATTTCCATGTCTGGATTTGGTATGGGACCTGAGGTTCAGAAACTTCCTGGTTTCAGTGGCAGAACAATTCCTAACTACTGATGGGCAGAAAAACAACAACAGTTTCATGGGCTGGCATATCTGCCACAGGGGTGGTCACTCACCTGCACCAGCTCCAAGAGGCAGAAGTAGGGTCAGGAGAATCAGGACTGGTGGCATCTTCCCAGGAAGGCTGCTCAGGTTGGAGAAGAGCAGAGAGCAGACACAGCCTTTGGAAGAGGAGGAAGAAGGTGTTGGATCAGTGGCCTCACAGGCATTTTAAACCAATGCACCTTTGCTTCTGATTGACGTCACATTACTTAAGGAAATATTCTGCTTTGGGTAAAAAATGACAACAAACTGTCACCACACTAACATCCTATGAGCTAAGCTGAGATAAAGGTCAAGAATGTAGAGGGTTGTAGGCTGTGGTTGAAGAAATCAAAGGAAGTCCACAGTGAACACACAGAGATGTGTGTGTGTGTGTGTGTGTGTGTGTGTGTGTGTGGTTTTTTTATGGCTTACACATTTTTTTGCATTCTGCTAATATCTCTTTGGGTTTCTTTGGTTTTTTTCCTCCTTTGTTTTTCAAAAAATACAGTCAATAAAATTATCCCAACAACAGTTATAGAACTCTACAAATACATTCACAAAGTTACACAGTACTGAGTGAGAGGTGATATTGTGCCATATCTGTTAGGCAGTATCGAAGTGCATTATGTCATTAATCTTTGAGACAACTAATCATCCTATGAAATAATCTGAATATTCTGATGAGTTAATCTGAGCTCACTCTGACTCTCCTAGAACTCCTCAGAAGTCACAGAGAAATCTCAAAGGCATGTGGTTGCCTTGTACTCAATAGTCATGTGGACTGTCATACATAGTAAAGTGAAATAATAGATCACAAATGACAGCTATTGTTTATCTGTTTAGTAGTTATTGTCATTAATCTCTGGGGCAAGAGCTTGAGGATTGAATTCCGTGGTCAGTAAAATTAGATCAGCATTGTCTTCCCTGTTGATGACTCCAATGATATTTTGTACAAGGATGCCTAGCATTTCCTATAGACAAACAAGGACCGTGATCATGAATGACTATTTAATGGGCTAAATCCAGGAGTCAGAGAGACAAGGATGCAGCCATGAAAATGCCCATCTTAACTAGAGTCAGCTGAAACCCTGTGCTTAGAGCATTAGATGCTGAGAGCGAACTATGTGAGAGCACTCTGGGAGGTGAGATGTGTGTGTGTGTGTGTGTGTGTGTGTGTGTGTGCATCCAGAAAACAGCAGAGCTATTGGATCCTGCTTTCCCATCACTGTTTCATGGAATTCAGATATTTTTGAACTTTCTCATTTTATATTTTGGAACCAAGGGAGGATTTCTTGTCTTCATTGTGAACGAAAATTGTGATCATATTTGGATCAAAATTTGTCATCTAGTCCACTCTTATGTAACCTTTTAGCTTTTCTGGGCCACCTTGGAGGGATGACTCTTTTGGGCTACACATTACCTACATAAACTATAATGAGCATGATATTTCCCCCTAAAAGGGACTGTGTATAAATGACATGACATCTGTACATACGAATAAGCAAACAAAGACTTACAAAACAGAAAAATCTTAATCATGTGGGTGACCACATAGAAGGAATCTTAAATCCATGAAGGAGAGTTTATGTTTGGGATATCAAATGAGTAAATTATACACATGTAAGAAATAAAATTTGTTCTGCTATTCTTTTATCATAAAAGTATGAATCTAGGCACTTCCGGTTTGGGACCGAGCCTAGAGCAGGTCGCAGGCAGCAGCTCAGTACCCAACTGCAGAAAACCAAGAAAAACAGGGACTCCCAGGAGCTTGAACTCACGCAGCATCCCAGGTTCCCTGAAGCTGGGCAACTGCAAGATCCTGCTTGGCAACTGCAGATAGACTCAAAGCAGTGTACCATATCATCTGAAGAATAGCAGGGAGACCATAACTCAAGCAGTGTACCATATCTTCTGAAGAATAGCAGGTTGCAGTCCTCCTCGCCCCCACGAATAACCAGGACCCGCCGGTCGGGTCAAGTGGCACCCAGACGTGGGGCTCGAGGCACGGACCCATCCGGATGGACCCTCATTGAGAGGATGTGCGCACGACATCAAGATTGAGCAAGACAGAGATCATCGCCCGTGACCTGTCGTCCACGGAACCAGGTTGATGCTGCCATCAAGAAGGCAGTTGAAGTTCATTACCATCAGCTGAAAATTGCAGAGGATCCAGAAGTGACTCCGCAGGAGACTGACACAGCCGTTAGCTCCCCTGCCTCCCCCTACGGTCGACCCCTAGACTTCCACGCCCTCCAGAAGGGTTCCTGGTATGCCTGGCTTTGCCCTCATTTCTCTCGCTAGAGAGCTTGGCCTCTTGATCACCACAACAAAAATTGGCTTTTTCCTAAACCAAGGCCACCCTTGATATGGCCGCTAACATTGGGGAGCCTTCCTTTATGACAATATTACACCCCAAACTGACAAATGGTTGGTAACTTGAACATTTACAGGAGACTAGGATGGCTGTGAGTTAGCCCAATGACGGGATTATTGTAGGTCCACTTCCCAGGGGCCCACCCAATGCAGCCGAAAAGGAGTGCGTGGTGCTGGGAGTGGGTGCAGCCTACATGGCCTAAGACAGGGCTCTCACCCTCCTTTCACCCACATCAGAGTCCCTTGACGTTGCCCATCGTCGACAGCCTAAAGCCTTCGACCATCGATGTGACTCGTCTCACATCAGTGTTTTGGGGTTGTGAACTTGTCTAAGACCCCCCATAATTAGACATCCAAATTCAAAACTCACATAGTTGGGATTGAACATAAGACGCCTTCTCTAACTAAACAGAGAAGGGGGAGATGCCAGAAGCCAGGACCCTCACCCTTACCCTTACCCCCTACCTTTCCCCACCTGCACAATGTCCTCTGAAGCTTGGCAACTGCAAGATCCTGCTTAGCAACTGCAGATAGACTCAAAGCAGAGTACCATATCTTCTTAAGAATAGCAGGGAGACCATAACTCAAGCAGTGTACCATATCTTCTGAAGAACTGCAGGTAGATCATAATTCAAGGCAGCATACTGTATAGACCATGACATGTTTCAAGGCACAGGCCAAGAAGATTTTGTACTTTTCCACCACCTGGACCCTCTTACCCCCTCTCCTTGTAAAACATGCTATAAAAAAGCATTTCATGTTCAAAAAAAAAAAAGAAATTAAAAAAAAAGAAAAAAAAGAAATACAAAAGACACAGAAAAATTTAAAAAAAAAAAAGTATGAATCTACATGGAAATTCAGCTTTGCTTTTGGTAACTGAAAGTTTCACCCCTGCCTTAGTAGACACAGCTCTGACCTCAGTGAATTCCTAAGGCACTGCTGAGATGTTTTGGTTCTAATCTTACTGTTAGTGTGCTTGACACTGTGAATGGAAAGAAAAAATGAAAACTTTACATCATCCCCCATTATTATTATATCTTACCTCTTCCATGTCTCTTCATGCTCATCAGATTCATGGTATTTCATTCTTTAATTATCATTCTCTCTCACACAGACAAGGGAATTAAATATAAATCTATCCTACAGGGTCACTGTACTATTTCTTGAACGAATATTTCTTTCAGGTCTAACATCTTGGGATTGGATATCCATTATGGCGCTCACCTTTGGAGAAGACTAATTCTCCCTCTCAGCAGTTTACAATTGTGTGTTGTCCTTCATCTAGTTAGAGGGCCCTTGCTAGTTCCCCATTCATTTTGATGGTCAACTGATGTTGTCATTGTTCAGGTCTTGTCTGAGCAGGCATATTGTGGAGATTCCTTAGATGTAGTTTGCTTGTCAAATCAAGAAGACATATAGGTAATATAATTTTAACCTTTGATTGTGTGTCTGTGTTTGGATGTGTGCCCATGAGTATAGGTGCCCTTTGAGGCCAGAGGAGCTGAAGTTACAAGTGGTGATGAGCTACTCAACAGGGCTGCTCAGAAGTGAACTTGATTCCTCAGCAAGAGCAGTGTGTACTGTTAAGACTTCTGAGACATGTCTGCAGTCTTTGTGCTCAGTTCTTGAAAGTAGCTGCTCACCAGTGTAGGCACTGTGAAAAAGTGGTGGCATGAATATAGTGTAATTGTAAAGTGTGAGCATTTGTCTCTCTAGAGGACCCATAAAAGCGCCAGAAAGTCATGAAGAGACATCAGCAAAATATTTTTAGTTTAAACAAAATATTCCAGTACTATGCATTACTTTCTATGCATTTGAAAATCAGCAGGTATCATATCTATGCCAAGGAGATTTGGTCTTTTATTGTACCAAAATAGTGACAATATTTCTTTAGGTTTTGAAATCTGTTTTCAAATTTTCATGTCAAATGTCAAAGCAAGGCTATATCACTGTTCACAAAAGCGTACTGGGCTGGGTTGAAATGCAGCAAGCTGTTTGCCATAATTTGAGATCTCTATAAGGCCACCTTCACTGGAACACTCATGGTTTGAAACATGGTTCTGACAGTTGGTTTTCTTCTTAAAGATAATATGATCAGTAAAATTCACTGAAAGATTCAATTAGTAAGTTTGATTTTATTTTCACATTATGGCAGACATTTTATTTCAAATTTTATTCATGTCATGATATCTAAATTGATAGTAATTCTGGTGTCCTCTGCTTAGCCATCTTACTTATGAAATGAAACTGATATCCCCAGAGTCGTCAGCAACACTCTTTAGGAATTCCAAGCATGGATATTGGTTTAATCCTGTGACCCTTATGAAATTCAGTGCTGGTCATGATTTATATGATGCTACCAACATTTAATGCTTTTTCACTAACTTTCCTTTTTAAACTTAATTTTTATTCTTTGACACCATCACAAATGTATTCAATATACTTTGGCCATTTTTACCCATGATTGTCCCCTCTCCTACCCAACCAATTTCTCTGAGACCTTCTCCTCTGTGCACAAGTTTTCTTGATGTCCTCTGCAGAGAGCCAGCATTTAACATTAATGTAGTGTGATGATAGCACAGTTCACTGTTCATTCTATGAGATCCTCTGTATTATTTTTTATGTTTATAAAGGCAGGGATTCTCTGTGTAGCCCTGAATGTCCTCTGTAGATCAGGCAGGGCTTGAACTCAGAGATCCAGCTGCCTCTATGCC